TCAATCTGCCGAACCAACCCGGAGGTTTGACCACAACAGCACGAAAGGTACTCCCACTCTCTAAACCCCCATACCTTCCAGTGGAAAGCTTGATGTTAAATAAAAACTAAAGTGGGCCCTGTAGAAAAGAAATATATATATATTCCCGCAGAGATCCTCAGGGAACGGTCTTGGTACTGTTTGATTTCATACAACATTTAATGGCAACCTTATAAATACACTGACTTTTACTATTACGCTATTTTTTATAATTTAAAATAAAAACATCGTCAATATTTTATGAATTTTTAATTTTATTATGATTGTGTTGGTGTACATTATTCTATCAAACTCATTATCATCATTATCGATATGTCAAAATATTATCATAAGAATGCAACAATAAGCTGCAACCAATTAAATCAATCGATACATGCAATTTTACTGAACTTACAATCAAAGTTTACAACTTACAACTGAGTTTACAACAGCTGACTTTTACTCCTTTGGGACTAAAAAAGCTTACCCCCTAAAGAGTAAAAGAGCTAATTTAAACCTGCAACACATGTATTTAAAATGGCTGTTTTTGCTGTAGTATGACAAAATAGGGTATTTCATCACTAGGGCGTAATGCGACTCTTTTCAACCCAAGGTCAAGTTTTACAATCGAGGCAAAGCTGGGGTGGGAATACAAAAAACAAATGTTGAACAGAGCTCAAAACCTTTAAAATAAGTTGTTCTTGGAAAGATTTATAAATACTGTACCCTTTTTATGGTGAAATTATATTTGCAAACTATAACAGTTTGAGTCCGTTCTGTGAACCAGGAATTTGTATTTACTTGTACTGTTGAACAAATCTTCAGACCATATGCCCAAAAAATACTCCTTTGTCAAGCCATTTAAGGTACTATTACCAGCTAGGGAAGAATGGCTTGGCGGGAAGAGGCCTATGTCCATAAGTGATTTAGAATGCTATACTGATAGTTCTAAGGTCAGACAAGGGGGCACTAGTGCAGGTATGCTTTGGAAACGAGATGGTAATGGCGTTAGTCTTCCCATGGGAGTGCACCCGACAGTCTTTCAAGCAGAGGTCACTGCTATTTTGGTTTGTGTTCGAGAAAATCTTAGCAAAGAGATAAGAGACAAAACAATTAGTATCTATACTGATAGTCAAGAATATTAGCAGAGTTTATTAGCACTTAACTCACAGAAATTAATTCAAAGCTCTTGTGGGAATGGGAATGTCTTGCTTGCCTCTGTGTCTGAATTGGGTAGGAGGAATGAACTCACGCTTTGCTGGGTGCCTGGACACTTAGACATAAAGGAAATAAAGCTGCTGATACTGGTCCACAACCTTTATTTGGTATATCACGCATGTGTGCTAAGTACTTCTATTGCGTCATGGGCCACGGAAATGCACCGAAAACACTGGGTTGAAACAGCCCTCCTAAGAGTTAGCAAGCTCACTTTTCACACGCCAAACAGGTTGTCTCAGACTTTTTGAGGCTATATAGGCGAAGAACCAAATTTAAAGAAGAACTGATTACTGGACATGGGTGGTTCAGGAAACATATACAATAAATGGGCTTATATGATGGCAAACCAGTCTGTAGGTACAGGAAACAGCTAATCACCTACTCTTTGATCGTGAACAGCTCTCTGATGCTAGAAAGATGCTCTTGGCAATTTGTTGAGAGGAATATACCTTCCTGAGGAAGAACTGATTGGAAGACTACATGCATTCATTGGATGCCTGAATCTGTAGGGTCTATCAATAAAACAACTTTTCTGTGTTTTCCCAATAATTCAAATTTTCGGATGAAGTGCTTTATGGTTTGGTCCTTCCTCTGTTAGATAAGATAAGATAAGAAGCATCTGACCATGGGTGGAACAGGAGCATGGTGGGGTCGGGTATTTTTTGACCCAGTTTTTTTCGGGTCACGTTTACTTCCGGGTCTTTTGCACAAATTGGGAAGGCCACCAGCTCCCTCCTACAGTCTGTACTGTTCTGGCATCGCAGACACAGCCTAGCACACCTTCTTCTTTTGCGACAGGTGCCATGTCCGCCAAGAAGGGTAGCCCTATAGTGGCATAGTTAAAAGGGCCTAGCTCGAAGTAATGTGCTAAACAGTTCCAGGCTAGTATGCTAGGAGATGAGGGGCTTTCTAGCCGGTAGTCCAGGGACATTAAGCCCGCGGGAGTCCTGCACTATTTAGAGGACTTTGAATATCTCAGTGTACGTATATGCATTTTCACCTCTTCCTCACAAAAAAAGAGATCAAGTATATTGTACTTAGTACACCTTGAAATCTTGAAGAATTTTGGAACTACGGTACCATTGAACTAGGGAAATAAAGGAATGTACTTACATAAAGCCATGAGCCAAATAGCTGAGTTCACTATACCCCTAGATATTCAACACTTTTCTTCCTAATGTCTACTGCATACGTAAATTATGAAATACCAACAGTTTTATGATTTACAGTTTACAGTTTTATGGTTTTATGAAGGGGGGGGGGGGGTTGCTACAGGAGCTTAAGCCCCCCCCCCCATTGGAGCCTGGAAAAAATTTAATCATACATATTTTGTCCAAAAAACGTAACGGGGGTTTTTGAACTCATATCTTTATATTAAAAATGGCTTTAGAAAGTCCCCAAACGGATTTCAAAATACCAAATTTTCTGGGGGAGGACTCCTGGATCCCCCTCCTTCCTTAAGGGGAGGTACCACACACCCCTAACACCCTGGTAGTCCCTCAACAAGGTCCTAGAACCAATCCTGAATACCAATCATCTGTTTAGAGAATACGTAATATGGAATAGAGATAAGTTGTTAGGAGGAAAGATGTTTTCTTCAAACTGTCACAGATATGTTTGTATTAAAAGTTGTTTACAAATGCTGCATTTGTAATACTGTAACAGTGAAGTAAATACTATATTTAGTACTATGTATCCATAATAGGTTATGAGTGACTGGGAAATGTGATTTTCTTTGATAGTTTTGATAGGCTGTGTAAATTTCATAAATTTGGTATGACTGAGAAATTAAATTTTTTGTTAATAATCACTTCTAATAACCTACAGTCGTGCGGCCATTCATAGCGGTGTTTCTTTGGCTTCCTGTCAATATATTTTACTGGAGATTTGACAAAAGCCACTTTTTTGTATACATTTCGCGTAGAAAAACATCGTAGATAAGATACTGCGTAGACAGACCTGCTTTATTGTACATACTGTTTTGGGTCTTTGAAGATTATAAGAACCACAAGAAATCATCATGTCATTTACCAGCCCTATTCAGCAGAAGCATTTAAAAGTAATTAGTAAGTAAGGAAGTACCCAAGAAAGGTTTTTCTAACACTATGTCATATAAAAAAGCGTTCTTATGATACTCGTACATGAAGATATCTAATACTTTTCAATAAAAGAGGTATAATTCCGTAGTGAAAGGAGATACGCCTGGAATAGTATTTCGGGGAAAACATTAAATATTTTGTTCCAGAGAGAGTAGTTTGAGGATCCTCGTAAAAGGACAGTTAGTGTGCAAAGAAGAAGTTCTCCCTTAGTTAAACTTCATTGGTCACATTTGATTCATTAACTTTGGTGATTGTATATTAGATGGCAAACTAATGCAAAAGGCCATTTAAGCATTCAGCAGGTTCATAGTAATAATAAAACACAAAATTTTGTTAAGGCTGTGGTTTCCTAGACGCTTAATAGGTGCGCTGCGTGTGCGCATCTAAGACGCAGCACACTTGTCTTATGGAGTTTCGTGTAAGCGGTTTCCAAGGCTGCGTATCTAATGCGTGCGCATCTAATACGCACGCACCAATAGCTGCGTATTTCACCGACTGCTCTCAGAGCAGTCAAATCTGAGTTACGCTGCGTTTTAGACATGTCATGTGCAATGGATTGGGAAGTAAATGTTGTCCAGATGGCAAAATTCCCCAACAACAACAAAAAAATCGATTAAATTTGTCTCTTGAAATGACATACTATGGAAGTACGTTGGTCATACAATTAAAATTTTTATAGTATTACATTTCATATCATTCGTTAGGTAGTGTTAATTTCCCCATAATGTATAATTTTAATATTTAATTCCCTTATTAAATGTTCCCTACAATTAATTTGTCCTCACATATTCGTAATTTGTAAATAAGCCTAATGTTGACAAATATTCTTTTCAAGCCAGCACAACAGCAACTCCCAAATATAAGAGCCCCCATAATTATTTTAAGAACCCCTGAACATCTTAGTAATTATCCTATATTATTTACTAGCAGAGTACCCGTCCTTCTTACGGGGTTGGCGTATAAGTATGACATTCTTATTGCAGTTATACTCGTAAATAATATACTATTTCGTCAATTCGGTAAGTTTCTAATAGGTAGGCCTAAATATAATAACAGTAAAATCAAAGTTGGAGAGGTTAAATTAAAATTTATTGTTTACATTTTAAATTGACATGTTTGCTTTAATACTACGGTTAAAACTTCTGCGAGGGCCACGTACAGTTCCTAATCATGTACTTTTCACTGCTTACACTTCTTCAAAACTTTTAATACCAAAGTATTCATTTCATTATCTAAATCATCGTATAACATCATAGTCAGAGGCGGGCGTCTAGGGGGAGCCAGGGGGGGCAGTTGCCCCCCCCCTTTTTCATAAGGAATATTTATCAAAATTATAAAATAGAATTATATCAACAATAAATCTAGATTTCGCCCCCCCCCCTCTCAAGCCCAATCGCCGCCACTGATCATAGTAGCCACCTGTAATCTCTCCCGTGAACTTATGTTACGCACCAACCATGTGTATTGTACGCAGTCTAGGAAACCACTCACGGCAGCTGCGTTTTGGGACCTGGATAAAAGCCGCAGCACATCTAAACCGCTGCGCATCTATTACGCGTCTAGGAAACCACAGCCTAACTTCAGTACAACTTCAGTATCCAATAGTCAATGCTTGTATATAATATTTATCATATGCAAAATAAATAGAATCTGTAACTTTTTCAGACAGGTTATATTCAATTACCTTTTGGAGAGGAATACTTGATTGAACCAGTGAAGGATTTTAAACCTGCTTACAATAAGGAGCATCCGCATATTATGTATAAACGATCTGGTATAAAAGACCATCATGGTACTTCAAACTGCCTCACTAAAGGTTAGTTTTGACAGAACAACTTCCACCGTATTTAAAGTTGTAAATTCTGAAAAACTATAATGTTAGCCATTTAAAAAGAGGGATTGCTTAAATAGACGTATGCAATTATTAAGAAACGGTATCAGCATTCTGACACATACTTTCTCCCATAAGCTCGTCAACAACCTTTGTCATGGGTAAGCGGTATGAGTCAATATGATATTTTATAGTTAAAAATCACAAAAGTTGCAATAACTTTTGAACCGTAATTGTTAGGGAAATGGGATTTGTACCATTTTGTTCTGAATTTAAATTTATAAGTTTATTTTATGAGGAAAATATGTTCCATTTTATGATTCTTAAATTTGTTGAGGGTAAACAATCAACTATTGTTACATCAGCTTTGTATCAGTGTTTGTGATATAACAAGGGATGATGTAAATACAGTAATAATAAAATTTATTTGCTAGAGTGAGGAAGGACATAATTTTACAAGAATTATAGAACTAGTGTTACCAAAGTTACTCTTTGTGCTTATCTACACGCTCATTCCTTCTTTTTACTGATATGCCAATCTAATCTCAAACCCATTAAATCTCAAGAAGATTCATCAGATCTACAGTTTATTCTTGAATCTCATACAGTATTTAGTTACACCTACTGTTTTTCGTGTTCATTTAAGCAAGAAAACTTAATGGGATCTGAATAGGGACATTTGTTCAAGGTCCGAATCTATATCTAAAAATTATCAGTTATTCTTTTCCAAGTCTGTTTGGATCTTCTACCCTACTGATTTTCACAATTTTGGTCTTACATTGAAGGTATGCACGGGAAGATTTTCTATCAAGCATCGGCATTCATTTATCTAATGTATATTTCGAGTTATGCACAAAAGCAACTTACCTATATAAAATAATTAATAATTTTTCAGGAGAGAAATCCAGCAATATCTTAATTGCCATAGATGATCTAATGTTGCTGCAATTCTGACCTAAACCGTTTTTAAAATCGACTATGGTAATAATTCTAGAAATGATTCAATCAAAGTAAATAATTATGTGAATTAATTTTATTGACAGATTTGCTATATGTACAATTTTGTCAACATTTTATTAGTACCGGTGCTAAGGATTTAAAACTTGAATTTTTAAGATTCAGATTTGAAATTTGTAGATTTGGCTTTTTACTTTCTCCCCCTATATATGGAGAAAGTATTGTTTTCGTCAAAATTTTCGAGTTTGAGTTTTGAGTGGATATATTCGTTTTGGGTCCCCCTGGACCCAGAAAAGTGGTTTTCGAAGTGATGTCTGTGTGTCTGGATGTGTAGAGGTCGTGCGGAACGAGGTGAAGCCTGAGATTTTCGGCGGGAACGGTCTAAAGCGGGGAAATCCATGGTGGGGGTAGGAGACGAGCCGATCGTCGCCTCGCATAGCGACACTTCCCCCGCCACACCACTATTCCCCTCCAAGCTTCACCTCGTTCCGCACGACCTCTACATAGCTAGGGACTACACCTGTGGCCAGATTTCGATGAAATTTGGTATGTAGGTTCTAATCCATAGTATCTCCAGGCGTTTTTTTTAATTTTTTTGAAATTTTGATTTTTAATGGGGAATTTCCCATAAAAACCCATAAAAAAACGGAAAAATCGGATTTTCTCAAAAATGGCCCGAACAATTTTGATAAAAAAATTAGTATGTTGTAGCCCTTTAAATTTTGAACAAAATGGTACAAATCCCATTTCTGTAAAAATTACGGTTCAAAAGTTATTGTAAATTATGTTATTTTCCCATAAAACCCCGTTAAAAAACAAAAAATAGGATTTTAGAAAAAATCCGGTTTTGATTGAACATAGTATGTTATGGTCCTTACAATTTCGATAGTTTTTTAATTTTTTAGAAATTTTGATTTTTAATGGGGATTTTCCCAAAAATGGACCGAATGATTTTGACAAAAATTTAGTATGATATAGTTCTTTAAATTCTGATCAAAATTGTACAAATCCCGTTTCTGTATATTTACTCTCACACACATGATAAAGGTTGTTGACAAACTTATGGGAGAAAGTATGTGTCAGAATGCTGATACCGTTTATTTACTTTTCTCCTTAAAAACATCAATTGAAGTACCCTTGCACAACCTTTCCTTCTTACCCCCTAGGCCATGGTGGCCTCTTGGCTAATCCAACCCAGAATGAAATGTTATAATCTTGGTAACTTTTACTTTAACATTTCTAAAAAAAAGCTAGCAACATTTAATATTATATCTTTGGTTTTGGGGTGTTGGATGTAACTAGAACCTGTCTTCAAATTATTATTAATACTTGAAAAGAAGGTATAGTACAACTAGTAAGGTAACTAAGTTGCAACTAGTAAGGCCTGTTAAGATTTTGTAAATAATTTTGAATGACAAACTCTATATTCCTATTTTTGAAACACATGTTTTTTAGGGGAGGTTTGTTATATTGTAGGCTTCACTCGCCTTAATTTGTTAATCCAGGACTCGTCAAAATGTACGCGAGAGAAATCAAGTTTTATTTCCCTGATGAAGCGGGACGTTATTTTTGGTCCAACGAAACATCGGAGTAAATCCAAGGACGATTTTTATGTGCATGTATGTTTTTCTTTGTTGTATGTATACATTTTGACAAGTCCAGGATTAACAAATTAAGGTGAGTGAAGCCCACAAGTTCATCAATAAAACTCTATATTCATTACACATTATAGATTATGGTTATGGGTAGGTTTATAGCCAGAAAAAGTTATTTTTATAAACTAAACCCTAATTATGCCTATATTGATTACGAGTTATGATAGGATGAAACAGTGACTGTTAACCATCACAACTGTCTACCTATAGATAAACAGTTGTATGAGGCCCTGATTTCTAGAGTTCTTCGTTTGAACGGATAGTATTAGTATAAGAGTTAAAATTTAAAAACGTACGTTTTCAGGAAAAGCACTTTGCAAATTTTTTTCCCCTTTTTTCAAAACTTTTATTATTTTTTTTATTTCATTAACATTTGAAGTTTCATAAAATGTCCATGGTAACGCAATATCTTTGGTAGTTTTTTTTTTAAAGAGCATCTTTAGTGGAAAAACACAAAATCCTGTCACGACCATAACGGACGTTTAAATGAATATTAAAAATAGTTAATATTATTTTTATAACTATGTTTTGCTATAAACTAATTTACTTTTATGACCATTATACAATAAAAAGGTCACTGAGATTTTGGTATATTTGGTCTCTTCTAGAAAAAAATAAAAAAAACTCAAAAAATAGAAAAAAAGCTAATAAAATCTTTTTAAGTTTGTGTAACTCCAAAAAAACTAACCTGAGACCCGAAAAATTGTTATGTTTGTATAGAGGTGTGCTTCTTTTGTGTATAAAACATTGAAATATGACGATATTTTAATTTTTGAAATTTTTATGATAGAAATCATAAACGTGATGGTCAGGGACAAGCGGTACGGTCGTGAATTGTCTGGAATAATCTAAATCTTTCTAAACAATCCTTCAATTATACTGTTAGTTATAATAAAACTATGTGTTTCAATTGAACTAGACTGTTCAATTTACAATTGTATTAAAGTTATTGTCACGACCAAACACACTATAATCCATAAGGCTGGATTGGTCGTGAAAAAACCCGCGATGGTCGTGAAACTTTGGTCGTGAAATTACGTGTTATTTGGCTCTGTTCTGGCGGTAGCCCTGCACCTCATGTTTGAGGATACAAAGTGGACTTCTAGGTTAATATAGCAATTGAAATATATTATAAACAAAAATTAACACCATGTCTACTTCATCGAATGACTACGTACGGTCATGGACACACCAAAATTACAAAAAACACAATCTTTCCTTTATTAATCTTGTAATTCCTCCTTTCAACTCGAAACGACCGGCACTACAATCCTGACGTACACCCCGAACTATTCTCTAAAACCAACTGACTCCATCGACGCCAGGCTTGCCACTGTCGTGCTCCAAAGTTGAAAATTTTTCCCAAATGGAATGACGCCAAATCGAGGGACAGACTTATTTTGTCATGTTAGTCAGTTTGCAATGACAATAAAATTATAATATGCTCCTTTTTTGTAAGTTTAATAACAATTGATGACATAAAAATATGGCTTTATATATTTCGGCATGAATAATTAGTAGGGATGGATGAGATTGGATTTTTAGTTCGAGACGAGATGAGACAAGATTTTTTATTTCTCATAAAATTTCGAGACGAGATCGAGACGGGATTTCACTTCTCATACACAACGGGAAATGCACGTTCAAAATTTTTACCTGATTTTGTAACATTGTTCGATGACTGTTTAAATACAAAAATAATGATAATAGGCAAGAATATTTACAAACTTTTATTAAAAAACATCAGCATAAAATTTGTTTATTAATCGCGCCTAACTTATTAAAAATGCCTACGATTAGGAAACATAGTGATATCAGTTAGGATAGAGTTCAACTTATCCTAACATAAAATAAAAGCAATATTAATTTTTATAAAATAGTTAGGTACCGTACTTGTTTTGACTTTTTAAAGTAATAAAACATTCCTCACACTGCTTACACTTAACAAAACTTCTCAAATGTTATTAAAGTATTATTATTAAAATAATTAAAGTAATATTTACATTTAAAGAATTAATTAAATAAGAACGCCTTCGCAAAGGAAACGCAACTACAACACGTTCCTGTATTGCGGGTATTGCATTGACTTTCTGCAGGCGTTTATAATTTTTTTTTTTTTTTTATTCTCGTCTCGATAAAAATCTTGGCCAAAAAGAAATCTCGTCTCGTGTAACGAGATTTAAAATTTCCCGAAAATTTCTCGAAATTCCGAGACTTGACCATCCCTAATAATTAGTCTAAAAACAGCTTGAAAGTTGGAAAATGTACCCTAGGGACACGTCATGGTCGTGAATTTCGAGACTTTAAAAATACGAAAAAAATACCTAGAACCTATTAAAAACCAAATAAATGTGTGTAACATGTTGCCCCGTCCCAAAAAATATTAAAACGCATAATAATAAACTACAAATCCAGTAACTACAAAGTAAAAGGCTAGGGACATGAAAACGTACGTTTTTAAATTTTCACTCATAAACATCATATACCATGTGAATGTTTTAGGTTCTGCCAAAGATGCTCTTGGAGAAAGATTAAAGTGGGAATCTATGTTTGGAAGTCAATTGAAAAGAGATTTTTCTGCTTTGAATATGAATGATGTAATGAGAGAGGAAACAACAAAACCCCCCGTAGCTAATATACAACCTAATATGGTTCTGAAGAAAGAGAACTTAAAATCCTTTGGTAATTTTAAAAGAGTCTACCAACAAAATGAAATTATTGCTGAAGAAAATATGCATCTAAAAAATCATTCACAAAATCATGAATTTCCCCAACAAAATTCTGACAAGGTAAAGAATGAATATGGAAATAAACTGAAATCAAAACCTTTAAGGGAAGAACTTGGCAGAATACAAATACCTGATGTTAATATATTACCTCAAAAACTATCATCAAGCCAAACAATATCTGGTCAACACTTATTGACCAAAACTGATGCAGAAAGTTATGAAAATGCAAAAGGTCCGTATAAGAACTACTTAAAACCGAGAAGAGTGAAAAGAGAATTAACTGACCAAGATCAAGACATTGCACAAACAAGAGATTCCAGCAAAACTAGACTCAATCAGATGTCAAATGATGAGCAGATTCATAACAACTGTACAGAGTTTCAAAGTTATGATATAAAACAAGAAAATTCTTTAAAACCTATAAGAAACACAGAGGATGAAAAGGCCAGATTTTTAAGTCAGTCAGAACAAAAAATTAAAATGTCAAATACGTGTAGTGAGCATAAAGTACCTAGTTCAGATGTGCATCTTAAAAAAACTTGTAATAATGGCATGAATGATAGAGAAATGAATGATTTTAATAACATAAAAGTTAAGGTTGATAGTCTAAAAAGTAATGATGTAGAAAATTGTAACAGCCCTGTAAATGGTAACAAAGTAAATACTGATTTAACAAACAACCAGAAATATCCACATCCAAATATTGAAAAAAATGCCAAAAGAGATATCCACCTTGATACAAGTGAAAAAAGTTGGAAGTCTTACGAAAAGGGTGAAGCCTCTTATGCAGCTGAAACCCCAACTCACAATACTGATAAGAAAACAAGATTAGATGGTGAAGTCACAAATAAAAAAAGTAGTCAGTTGTATAAGAAAACTAAACAAAACAATGAAAACATGTATAACAATAATAGAAAGGTTAATACTCTTGATCCGGTTAAGGATATGGATAAAACAAAGGTAAAAAAAGATATTGGTGGAGGCTTGTTATATGTTCCTCAGCAAGAAAAAAATTATAATACTCAATTTGTAGCTAACAAACCTTTAGATAAAGATAAACATTCAAATTATAATAAGCATGATGAAACTCTAAGTGATATAGAGAATGAAAATGTATATAAAATTGTAGTCGAGGATGGTAATTTGAAAGACGATTTAGGTTCTACAAAAGAAAACAAACAAAATGTGGATTTGATTGATGAGCCTTTTCAACCTGCAGAAAACTCAACAAATACCCATGCTGATGAGATAGTAATTAGGATTAAAACTCCAGAAGGAACTATCAGTGAAGTAAAACCAAACCAAGACATTAACAGTGGGAGATTAAAATACAGTGTAATTAATCCAACCACAAATAATGAACACATTGATTCTGTATTGGATCAAAATATTGGCATGTTTTTAACAAAAAATAATTTAAAGAGAAATAATGTGGAGAAAAATAAAAGAGGTACAACCGAAATATTTGAGACAGATAGCCAAGGTGGGAGTTATGTTCAAGATACCAGAAATGCTGATAAGGGGATTTCTTCACAGGATTTTAACATTGTCGTAGAAGATGCTGAAAATGGGAACATTGTGGGTAATTATGCAAGCAATAAAGCAAAACGAGATGATAACACGATACATTTAGTGATTGAAACAGAACCTGAAGTAAAAAGCCAAGAAGTTCATGATTCAGAGCACCCTGCAAGTAATTTGTTTTGCCAAGGCAGAAACTGCCTTGAAATAAAGCCTATATTTTTAAATGATACAAAATCATCTTTAACATCATCGAACAGCACTAGTGACAACCCTAAGGAAAAAGTCATAAAAAAAAGAGATTCTGAAGAGGATGGATTTTGCGGATCATCTACAACAGAAGCACCTCTCAGGTGCAACGATTTTAACCATAAAATATTTACCATAGAACTAATGATAACTGTTGATTACAAAGTTGTCCATATGCATGAGGATGATGACATTGAAAACTTTATTCTTACCATCATTAATATGGTATCTAGTAATTTTAATGACAAATCACTTGGATTAAACCTAAATGTTGTTCTGGTGAGACTCATTCTGCTCACAACCTGTATTAAAGAACTAGACAGCGATAGATTTAATCCAGAAGAACTTTTGGAAAATTTTTGTACGTGGCAAGTTCTAGTGAACCCTGGTCGAGATGACCATCCTCACCATCATGACTTGGCAATATTTGTATCTAAAATGGATAAATGTCAAGGCCAAACAATGGGGGTATCATACATGACCAGTGTCTGTAGACCAGATAAGGCTTGCATTGTATGTGTTGACGAGGGCTTACTACTTGCCAACACCATCACTCATCTGATAGGACACAGTCTTGGAGCAGACCACGATGACGGCCAAAGTAGTGGATGTGGAGAGAGCTTGCCAGACGGTACAACCTACCATATGGCACCTACAATTACTGAAACTAGCTCCGCATGGTCTGTTTGTAGCAGAGATGCTATTACCCAGTTTGTGCAGACCCAAGGATCATGGTGTCTTATTGATTTTCCTGTTGTTAGAACTTACAATTTCCCTTTAATGTTACCAGGGCAAATATATTCAGCCGCTCAACAATGTAAACTAAATTTTCATATGTCAGCCGTTCCTTGCTCTGTCGGAGCATTTTGCAATAAACTATATTGTCAAATCACAGATAAACTGTGTGCAACAAAGGGTGATCCACCTGCCGATGGTACTTTCTGTGCCTCTGATATGTGGTGCTTCCATAAACAGTGTGTACATGTAGGTCGGAGACCAGGAGCGATAAATGGAGAGTGGGGACCCTGGACTGAATGGAGCTTGTGTACAAGGTCTTGTGGTGGCGGGGTGTCCAGTAGCTACAGAATCTGCAACAATCCAAAACCCCAGAATGGAGGACGATATTGTATCGGAGAACGAATAAGGCATAAAATATGTGAAACAAAGCCATGTCAAGGATTTACTGAAAGTTTTAGAGATTTACAATGTAAACGAACAGAGGACAGACCATTCCGAGGAAAACTTCACAATTGGGTACAATATGAGAGTCTTTTCATTAACATCGAATGTGCTTTAGTGTGCCAAAACAGAAAAGGAGATGTGGTGATGAGGTCACCTATTGTAGCTGATGGAACTCCTTGCAAAGCTGGAACAAAGAATGTTTGTATTCAAGGAATGTGCAGGAATGTTGGGTGTGACTACATGATAGACTCAACTGCTAGAGAGGACGCTTGTGGTGTGTGCCATGGGAACGGTACTGAATGCAGAATTGTGGGAGGTGTTTTTGATGAGGCAATCTCTAAAAAGGGACTGATTGAGTTTTTACGCATTCCAAAAGATTCTGGTATGATTTTTGTAAGGGAGATTGCACCATCTAGTAACACTCTAGTAGTTTCTGGATCTATAAACAGAGTTTTTTACTTGAATGGTCTTGGATCAGACGATTCGATGGCTGGAGATGTAGCATTCGGACTTAGCCACGGAGTGTATGAAAAGAGAGGAGGTATGGAAAGAATCTTCATAAGAGGACCAACAAAGGAAGACCTCATATTTTATATATTTTTCCGCGACATCAACAAAGGAGTGCACTATCAATATGCTATTTTGGAATATGATCCCACTTACATACCTAGGTATTTGTGGCAATATTTAGACTGGGATGCTTGTTCTGATCCATGCTCTGGTGGATCTCAGGTAAGACATTGCTTTTCTTTTATGATTGTACTAGCTGCTGTACCCGTGCTTCACAAAGGAGATGACACTGAGGAGAAAAATTTTATGTTTAAATCTGTTATATAAAATAGTTACGCATCCGCCTTAGGTTTCAGGAACAAAATTAAATTGGACCTCTTTTTAAAAAAGAATATCTTTCTTTAAAGCTAGACTAGCTTATAACGCTACCTAGTAAAAATTATATGAGGCACTGATGCATGTATGAAAATACTGTAACATATGTTGAATTTTCAAATGATACGCTTACTTAAAGTTGACTTAGTTGAAAAAACTTACATTTAGCTTGTCAACAACCTTTATCATTGGTAAGCGATGAGAGTAACTAACTATGATATTTAATAGGTAAAAGCACAAAAGTCGCATTAACTTTTGAACGGTAGTTTTTACAGGAATAGGAGGTTGCACTACTTTGTTTAGAATTACAGTAGAACCTTGATAACAAGACTATCATGGGGATTGTAAAATAAGACTTGTTATCAAGGTTGACTTCTTATCGAGGTTTGTAATAACATGTGATTAGGGGTATATTAATTTTAAGGGGATTTGAAAATGACACTTGTTATCAAGGGCGACTTGTTATCGAGGTTCTTCTTATCAAGGTTACACTGTAATTATAAGGACCATAACAGACAAATTTCAATCAGAATTGGTTCTTTGTTTTTTATGAGTTTTCATGGGAAAATAACATAATTTTTACGGGAATGGGATTTATATAGTTTTGTTCAGAATTTAAAGGACCATAATATACTAGGTTAGTTTGCAACAAACCCGGCTTTTTTCAAAATTCCGATTTTAGCGAATTTCCCATATAGGGAATAAGCTATTACCGCAGGTTTCATGGTAAGACCTAGACCCGGGACCGATTTACTTTTTTGTTTTAAGGTCCCCAGAGTCCAAGAACACCAATCCGTTTGAATTCATATAATGTCCGTTAGTGCGATAACTCAAGCAAAAATGATCCGATTTTGATGACATTTGGTACAAACATGTAAACCTACATTTATTCGAACGAGCTCGCGAACCAGCATAATCGCAAACCAGCATAATCGGATTATGGAAACGGGGGTTTATGGGGGGTTTTATGTTTTATGAGGTAAAAATAGATTTTTCCCATTTTTGACCCTAAAAACACAAAATTTCTCTCCAAACCATTTTGTAGAGCTTAAATAATAATTTTGTATATTGAAGCGTTGCTGTACCGGTATGCCCAATGGTTACGGAGATAATTAAAAAAATTGTAAATTTAAAAATCCCATGTATTTCTTATGGAGAATAAATAAACTGTTGTAGTTTGCTTGATTATGGATATATTTAACCAAGTTTGGAAATTTTGTTTATTTAATACTAAGCTATCGACATTCCAATAAAAAAATACAACCGCCGCAGCAAACCTGCAGACTAAGCGAATTTCCATCTACCTGGCTGGAATTCCACTAAATTATCCCCTTAAAATTGTCATATTTATTTCATATTTAATTATCATTAATTTTAATGAGTACTTAGGTTTGCTGCTACAGGGAAGAAAATAGGGGTTTTTTATCAAAAATATGATAGCTTGGTATGAAGTAAACAAAATTTAAAAATGCCATTAAAATAGACAAGTTTATTTATTCTCCATAAGAATAACATGGTAATATTAAATTTACACTTTTTTGGTATTTTTTCCGTAACCGTTAGGCATGCAACAATGCTTCAATATACTAAATAATTTGTTTTTTGAACTCTACAAAAGGGTTTGAAAAGAAATTGCAAAATTGTATGTTTTCAGGGTGAAAAATGAGAAAAGCCCATTTTTACCCTATAAAACCCCCCATAAACCCCTGTTCCCATAGTCCGATCATGCTGGTTCGCGAACTCATTTGAATAAATGTAGGTTTTTAAATGTTTATACAAATTTAATGAAAATCGGATCATTTTTGCTTGAGTTATTGCGCTAACGGACACATATATAAATATTAATTAATTATATATAAAATAACATGAGTACCCTTTTATTATTCTCTTTTATTTAATAAAACTAGTGAACCTGTGCGGCTCAATGCCCCGCAAAATAACATATGAATTTAGAAAACAAATTCATCGTACTATATATTGACTCGACGTCGAAACTCAACATGTTTCGTCTATAATGACATTTTCAAGTGTGTTAACCTAAATTCAAAAAAAAATATTATGTTATGAATAAATACAGCTGTTAATTTTGTTAGCACGTGATTGAATGTTTAGTTGTTGTTGGTTTTTCTAACACTTATAATTTTGTTCTAGTATGGTAATGTTTTCGTTATAATTTTTATACGTATGGTCTGTAGAAAGTATGTGTTCTGCAAATGTAGATTTTTGTGTAGTTCTGTTGTTTGATTTAATTGCTTGAATATGTTACTTGTGGTTACTTTGAAAATTTCATCCTGTTTGGCCAATGTAGAATTTTGAGCAGGGACTGCAGTTTAATTTGTATATGCCAGATTTGTCTTTTATGTCTGAGATGTTGTTGTTTTACTGTGACAATTTGTCAATTAAATCAAATGAATTGTTTCTTGTTCTGTATAATAACTTGTAATTTTGGTTGTTAACTGTTTTCCTATATGCTTTGTTAAATGTAGTTGAGTAAGGTAGACATAAAAATGCATGTTTTCTGTCTTCTTTCTTGACATGTTGGTTTTTTCTGTCTGCATTTTTCTTTATCATTTTTTCTATGGTTTTGCTTCTGTATCCATGACTCTTTGCTAATTTTGTAATATGTTCCTTTTCTTCAATAAAGTTTTTGTTATTCATGGGAATGTTAATAAGTCTATTAATATATGAATGGAATGTTGCCATTTTGTGTTGCCAGGGATGATTTGAATTTGCTGGGATGATGAGATTGTTTTCAGTAGGCTTTCTAAAAATTTTAAATTTATCTAAATTGTTTTCTTTGGCTATGGTCAAATATAAGAAATTGATAGATGAATTTTGAACTTCTAATGTGAATTTAATTGATTTTGATATTGTATTCAAGTAATCCAATAGTTGATTTGGTGTATGGTCGTCAATGTTAAATAAGCATATGATGTCATCAACATACCTGTACCAATATATGATATCCTTCAGCATTGGGTTGACATTGTTAATGATTTTTTTCGTTTTCTATATGTTGCATGTAAATGTTGGCTAATAAACCAGATAGTGTGAACCCATTGCTAACCCTTCATTTTGTTTATAATATATCAAATTAAATTCAAAATAATTTTGTTATACCATTGTTTTGGTGAGTGCAATTAAATCTTTGACATTACCAGGTGTTAGTTTGTTGTTTTTTTATAGGTTTACTTATATAATTTGGAGGGTTTCTTTATATATATACTAGCTGACCCGGCGAACTTCGTATCGCCTAAGTTATAGGTTTCCCCTAAGACAGACCGATGGAAAGAAAGTACCGTTACGTTTAATTTTCAAGATGATCTCGTTCGCATCGCTCAATCACGTCCTGGTTGAAGTTCGTTCGCTACGCTCACTCACCTTTGGGTTGGAGCTCGTTCGCTACGCTCACTCACCTTTAGGTTGGAGCTCGTTCGCTGCGCTCACTTGCCTTCAGGTTAGCTCGTTCGCTACGCTCACTCGCCTCCAGGTTGAAGTTCGTTCGCTACGCTCACTCACCTTTTGGTTGCAAATTAGCTGTTGTCATAAATGTAAAAGAAATAATAGTGCTGCACCCTGTTGGTAATCCTTGTAACTTTAATGCTATTGAACATCATAGAACAGAACCAACTTGTTTAATTGAAACAGCTGTTAAGATTCATTAATTCCATTTCTCATAAGGTTAACATGGGAAACTCCAGAGCCACTGGGGCGGAGCCCTTTTAAGAATTTCGAAACGGGAAATAGTTTACGTCCGATTCGCATACCTACAGAATTTACACACCAAATTTCATAACGATCGGTGAAGTCGTTCCGGAGGAGTTTGCAGACAAACACTGTGACACGAGAATTTTATATATTAGATATATATATATACAGGGTGTTTTTTAAAAAACTTGCATCTTTATTTATGTAAAAACCGCAATAGATAGAAATATGCAGTTTGCGGGAATCATCTATTGACATAGGGGGCCCAATTGTTTTGAATTCAACGTTACATTCACATTCCCCCCCTTTCCCCCCCCTGCCCCCAACTTATTTTTTTTAAATAGCAAGGTACCCCTTGTGACATATCAAATGAAAGAGCATGAAAAAAGAAAATGTTTGATGAAAAAAAAATAAAAATCGGTTCATAAATTTGCGAGATATTCCCCCCCCCCTTCCCCGGAACTTGATTTTTTTTTAATAGCAAAGTACCCCTTGTGACATATCAAATGAAAGAGCATGAAAAAAGAAATTTTTTGGTGAAATTTATTTTTCATTTGATATGTCACAAGGGCATGTGACCTTGCTATTAAAAAACAAGTTATGGGTAGGGGAAAAAGGGGGGGATTATCTCACAGATTCATGAGCCGATTTAAAATTTTTTTTAACCAAAAATTTTTTTTTCATGCTCTTTCATTTGATATGTCACAAGGGGTACCTTGCTTTAAAAAAAAATCAAGTTCCGGGGGGGGAGGGGGGGAATATCTCACAAATTTATGAACCGATTTTAAATTTTTTTTCATCAAACGTTTTTTTTTTTTCATGCTCTTTTATTTGATATGTCACAAGGGGTACCTTGCTATTTAAAAAAATTAAGTTGTGGCAGGGGGGGGAAGGGGGGGAATGTAAATGTAACGTTGAATAAAAAAAAATTGTGCCCCCTACATCAATAGATGATTCCCGTTAACTGCATATTTCTATCTATTGCGGTTTTTACATAAATAAAGATGCAAGTTTAAAAAAAAACACCCTGTATATATATATGAATGTGAACGGATGGTGTTTTTGGCCTCTGGGGACCACAAAACAAAAAAAGTAAATCGGTCACGGGTCCAGGTCCTATCATGAGACCCACGGTAATAGCTTATTCAATATGGGAAATTCGCTAACACATCTCATTATCTTCCCTGCCTAGCTGTAAATACTTTAATTTGACAGTTCAAAGAGCAGGAGGTTAAGAGGTACAGGTTTGATACCAAGATTCTTAAGTTTTTTTGATTATGAGAATAGTTTTATTGGTAACTAGCTGTACCCGCGGGCTTTGCCCCGTTTAACTTCATAAGTATTCGCATGGCTCATTCACGTCCTGGTTGAAGTTCGTTCGCTACGCTCACACACCTTTAGGTTAGAGCTCGCCTTCACTTGCCTTCAGGTTAGCTCGTTTGCTACGCTAACTCGCTTCCAAGTTGAAGTTCGTTCGCTACGCTCACTCACCTTTTGGTTGGAAATTAGCTGTTGTCATAAATAAAAAAAAAATAATAGTGCTGCACTCTATTGGTAATCCTTGTAACTTTGATGCTATTGGGCATTATAGAACAGAACCAACTTGTTTAATTGAAACAGCTGTTAAGATTCATTAATTCCTTTAAATATGAAAAATCATAAGGTTAACATGGGGAACTACAGAGCCACTGGGGCGGAGCCCGAAAGGATTTTTGAGATAAGAATATGCTTTAATGTTAATCGGGAATGTGAGCTATCATCATGCCAAATTTCAGCCCAATCCGTCCAGTAGTTTATGCGTGATTGAGCAACAAACATACACACAAACACACACACAAACACACGCACAAACTCACAAACTTTCAGATTTATAATATTAGTAAGATTATTGGTGGAATTAAGTATTTTACCATCAGGGCACTCAATCGTAACCACTCATGAAATATAGTTCAAAAAGGCTTTAGATTTTACAATAGCATGCAAAGGGTAAACTCCAAGTATTTTTAGTATCCTAAGTAGGCTAAATAATAGAAGAAAATATAAGTAGTAGCCACCTGGTCAAAAAGATGGTAGTATAATTGAAATTTAGTTTGTAAATTAAATGAAAAGCAAATAATAGCGTAAATAGTCACCTAGAAGAATCTTGGGAGCAGAACCTGTATCTCTTCTCTTTGAACTGTCAAATGATAGTAGTATACGCAACGATTGCGTAAAGATAGTGTTAATGACACAACTAGAAATTTTAAGGTACGCACTTTATCGAGTGCCTTATAAAAACTTCTACTAGTGTCGTTAACACTATTTACTTGAGTTGCGTAGCCTACATTACTTTATCTACTACAGTGTTTTAATTACTAAAATCACTACTCATAACTTCTAAGAGAGGTTATGTTTTTGTTTATAACCTCTATCGCCACTGGCAGTGATGCAATGAAACATTTTACCAAACACTAATTGCAACACTCAACAATTAAATTCATCTGAGCAGCCGATTAGTTGAAGTTCTCTCTCAATCCTTGAACCTCATTGGTCCGTTGTCTTGTTATGAGTAAAACTATGCTGTTATGAATGTAAACAATGCAGTTATGTGAAACGTTTCAATTCTAAGAACTGAACTGAAACGGCTACTTTAAAAACGATTGTAGGTAAAAGTATTTACCTACAACTAGTATTTGTTTACTTTCATCTTAATACTCCATACTTAATTTTGAAAGATTGTTTGTAAAAATCCGTCCATTATTAATGGAGGAGTAGTGTTTCATAGAAATTGCCTTCACGTATTATATATAACGATAATTTACATTCTCCCAATAGCTCCATAACTCCATAAGCACATACACACTTTACAGGCCAGGGGGGCTTAGCCCAAGGTACATACAAAACTGAATGTACCTATATGTTAATCGAGACAGAGGCCAATCCAACGAATCAAAAATCATTACAATCGGTCCAGCCGTAATTGAGTTAAAAGTGTTGTAACTAACACACTCCCCACCAGCTGGTCACTGGTATCATCACTCTGCCAACATGACAACACACAAAGTTTGAGTTTTTGTACAAGAATATGTTTTTTTAAACAGTGCTGCTGGCCTTCTGTGTGTTTATTTGTTTTCATGTTGGAGCAACAACCCATAAGATTTATCTGATGAGCTGCTTAGCAAAGGACCACATTTATTTAGTAATCAAAACTACCTATATAATCCTAAATGTGTTGGTATATACAGTAACTATGGTTGAGTATACCAAGCAATTGCAGTATTGGAGTAAACTCTGGGACAATTTCATCTATTCGATTGGGTTGAAAGACTAGACTTGTTGGACCACCGGACCAGATTTTAAAATCACCCATTTATCGTGACTCAAGTTATACAAATTGAGTTCAGTGTTTGGTAATAAATTGGTATCTACTAACACTTATCAATGATTTGTTTGAAGCAGAACAAAAACTAAATAGAAAAAAATGTACTGTATTATTTACTGTTTTTTTTTATGTAGTAGGTAATTTGATTTGAATAATACTACTGTAGTTTAAACAAAAAAATTAGAGTAGTATTTTAGAGTGAGGCTCAAATTAATTAAGTGAATATTCCCAGAGGGCTAGAGCAAAATGTGTGGAGGATCGTGGTGGGGTAGTAGATGACAAATACTGCACTGAAAGTTCTCGGCCCCTGGATATAGTGCGCCCTTGCAACGACTTCCCCTGCCAGGCCAAGTGAGTCACATGACAGTAGTTTTCAGTATTTCAGTAGTAGGCCTACTGTATTTAGTGACCTGACAAATTCATGTCAGTCAGAATTGATTTTTTTAAGCTGTGAAGAAAAGCTAACCTGCCTGGAAAGGTTCAAAGAGCAGTCGTTCAATATGTGTTTCAGCCCTACAGTCGCAAGACTGAACGAGAACCTCTTCCCTTAGGAACTGCATCCCCATACAACTGTTATCCTTATATCTTTAGTATGGTTATAGAAAAGACATTTATGAATATTACTATACTGCTTACACAACACATAAAATAAAACAGCATTCGCACATACACTATGGTTATCATTGGCTTAGTGCTGTTAACTTCATTGATTTACGAGTTCCATCAGCAACCACAACCACAACAAAGACGAGAAATTATAGAATATAGAATACTATCATATATTATGTATTAAATCTAGAGCTATACTTTTGCCTATATTTCAGGTGGTGGGTAAGTGTTTGGTCTGACTGTATCTGTACTGGTGCAACCAGTGTCATGTTCCGCAGTGTTCTGTGCATGAGAGCCAACGATGAGAGTGGAACTCGGGTAGAAGTTGTCAAAGAGTCCGAGTGTACTTTAGCTGAGAAACCACCAACTCAGAAACCATGCAACTACTCTGAAGAAGACACTGAATGTGCCAAACGATCTGTTGTGGATGATTCATTTTATCAGTAGGTTCATGTTCACAGTTTGTCAAGTATCACAACGATTGACTTGAATGTCATATTAAAGTTAAAGGAACCAAGGTTCCTTATATAAAATGAATTATCTATAACTATATGAAAAGAAACAATTTAGTTTTAGCGAATTTCCCATATGGGGAATAGGGGAATTAGCTAATACCGTAGGTCTCTTGGTAAGACCAGGATACGGGACCAATTTACTTTTTTGTTTTGATGTCCCAAGAGGCTAAAAACATCATCCGTTCAAATTCATATATATATAAGAACTGATACTATATAAAATAACATAAGTACCCTTTTTTCTTTTTATTTAATAAAATTACAGATGTTTCGTCTATGACATCTTCAAGTGAGAATATATATATGTATGTGTGTGTGTGTCCGTTAGCATGATAACTCAAGCAAATATCATCCTATTTTGATGAAATTTGGTACAAACCTAAGTTTATTTAAATGAGTTCGCAATTCACATGAGAACCGTTTTTGGGGGGGTTTTATTGTATAAAATTAGGTTTTTTCTCATTTTTGTCCCTCTAAACATCAATTTTCCAATGTCTCTCTCTAAACTATTCTAACCCTTCTCGGATGGGTGACGAGTATATCCGCCTAAGTCTTTGGCGATAAAGGACGGGTGGCGGATATATCCGCTCAAGGTTTTTGATGTTCCGGACGGGAAGCGGATGTATCCGCCTTCTCTTCAGACAGACTGGCAGGTGCTTGAGCAGTAACCAGACGTTTCCCGGTACCAAGGCGCCACTTTCCTGCTCATTCCATGGCTGCGCTCTCTCCCGCACTCCCCCCTCTCTCCTGCGCCTACCTCTTTCCCACCCCACCCCCTTTCCCACGCACCATCAAACCTCCCCTACGCTCCCCCCTCGAGGTTTCGCGCTCAACACTACGTTATCTTTATTTATTGTTTACATATTGTTCTTTATTTATTGCCTTACGTTGTCATGGTCATATCTTCAAAGACGGGTGGCGGATATATCCGCATAATTAGAAAACGAGTAAAAAATTATTTTGACAGTATGAAGTGCTCCATTGTGTTTATATTATGTATACTTGTATAACAAAACACAAATAAGGAAAATAAATTTTTATTTTTTCTTATAATTTTTTCCTGTTCTATGTTACGATTTTGCCCGTCCGGGAAGGGTTAAAAAGCATAAAAAACAAATAATTAAGTGTTTTGAAGTTTTTTTTGTGTTTTTATTGCTTTTATTATGATTTTTAAAAATCCTTTTTTAGCTATTATTTTCCAATTCCATCCAACATTATATCCATTATCAAGCCTTCATATTATTTAACAATACACCCTTCACTTATTTAATTTACAATATCCTGACATTATAAAATTATTTCGTTATAAATTGACATTTCTTTATCTAAAACAACTTTAAAAGTAAATTATTATGATGTTCTAGCGGTGAAACTCTTCATAATGAATGTTCAGTTATTAAGATACCGGTAATTCATTTTAAATTATATTTAATGTTGTTTTTTTATGCAGATCCCGCAGAGAACTGAGAAGATCAGTCAATCCAAGATTAGCATTTTCAGCGGTTTCTCCTGTGGACTCGGAACAGTTGAACCAAGATAAAGACAATGATAGAAAAAATGTAAGTGCTGACATTTGTGTAACTACTGAAGTACCCTCAGTTTGTCCGACCGAGGAGATAACCTCTGAGACACCCTCTACTTGTAAAGAGACGTCTGCTCCTCAGCCCCACAAGAAAACTACTTGCTGCCGAACAACACCACACCGACAGTTTGTCGTCAAAACTACATTTGAGACGACTACAATCAGACCAGTAGCAGTGAAATTAGACCAACTTAACATCAACAATTTTGGTCTAACTGTTGTTCCATTAGAATATTCTGGCAAGAAAAAATTACTGCCTCTAAGCGATCCAGAATTTATAAATTTGGGAAATGTTGGCCAATTTGGTATTGCTGACGAGCTTAATGCCACAGTGATCTCTGGTCAAGAAGCCCTTGATTTACTGGAATTTGCGAGGAGCAATGCGAGCGAAGAACCTATTGTTCTTCATGAAGACATGCATAACTAGAAATATGTTACAAATCAAGTATCGATTAACCTACAGTAATGTACATGACTGGATAATAAAATACATTCTCACTGAGTATTTCATCGGTGAGATAGGAACTGTATAATGAGTTAGTCTTGTTAATTTTTGTTCCATTCAACAAATTGAACTTTACTTGATATTTATGTTTCAGTCTTGAAATAATTTAAAATTATAAGCCATATAGGCAGCAGAGTTTGAACTACAATTAAATGTAATTAGAAAGTTATTGTAAGTGTTTAACATATTACAAACAAATAAATAATATGTTGTGTGTTTTTTACTGTAATCCTGCAACTATAATTTGACTATAAAAAACTATAACTCATTTACTTTGGTTACAATACAGAAAATATAGCAAAACAATTTACTAGCTATTGTATGTGGAGACTGAGGTACTAACCACTCGGGCCAGAGTGGTGGCCTGAGGTATTAACCAGATGTTTTAGAGGTTTTAAATATAAATTAGTGACCATGCCTAAATGTATGAACCAACAACCAACAACTACTAAGCTTCAAATGAATGTTAACTATTTGGTACGTTTAGGTTTTTATTATTTAGCAAGTTAACTTTAACCCGAAGACAACATGATGAGTATATGTAGGTACCTTTTGTATTATTTTCTCTCCCAAAAGTAAGTGCCACAAATACTGATCTCTTAAAGCGCATGGATTACTATTTCTTAAACCAGGAAGGCCTGGGCCTCAATCTTGGGCCTCAATGGGCTTACTCCTATAACCACATGAGATCTCTTGCCAATTGCTTGTCTTCTAATATATTCAATATTTATTCTTGGAAGTCGCAGAATTTTCTATTCTCTAAAACTAAACACATACAAAAACCTTTGGTACTTCTTTCTATGAAATATCATTATGGTATTTTATTTGCACAAAAGCATTAAATGTTTAAGCTCATAAACACTCACTAAATTTATTGATAAAACATAACAGACTGGGCTGTAATCCTATTAATTTTTAAAACCCCGTTTTGGGGTTGCAGTTTGTTATGTGATTGCGGTAGTGTTCAAATAGTTTTCGCTTCATTGTAACTTCACTAATTGTGTACTTACTGTCCACCAAATCGTGCAAACTTTTAAGTGAAAAATGACATTCATCGGTGTCCTCCATGTACTAGTAAATCTTTTGCACCGCTTGAGTTATCTCAGTAGACGGTTTTCAACCAAATTGTGTTGAGGGACCTTTTTTCCCAGTAAAACTTCACCCTGCAAGAGCAATTGTATACATCTCCCTCTCTCTCTAAATCTACTGTGCAAATTCGACTTAGCACTTGCCGCCCCTGTTAAGTATTTAGTTTTAAGCTATAAATATGTTTTGCAACATGGGAAGTACAGTAGGAGAATTAGTGATGAGTAAGTCAGTCCAGTCAATCAGTCAGAGAGGGCTTTGTATTTTATAGAAGATATATGGCATTGTACTAATGGGCGCAGGGCCGCTTCCTAGGGGCGCAAGAGGGTTTAGATTTGTTGGAGACTGATGTTTCAATGTCGTTGTACTTTATCTTTGTTGGCATGGTCTGGCACCCTTTTTAGCGAATTTCCCATATAGGGAATAAGCTATTACCGTAGGTCTCATGGTAAGACCTGGACCCGGGACCAATTTACTTTTTCGTTTTGAGGTCCCCAGAGGTCAAAAACACCATCCGTTCAAATTCAAATACAAATGACATGTTTCAACACTTAGGTCATAGTCATGTTTACATTTTATACAAATATAATATCTGTATATCTGTACAAATATAATATATATTTGTATAAAATGCAAACATGACTATGACCTAAGTGTTGAAACATGTCGTTTGTTAATTAAAATGAATTTAAAAGGGTACTAATGTTTTTATAATGTTTTTGATTACCTATTTATATATATATATATATATATATATGTCCGTTAGCACGATAACTCGAGCAAAAATGATCCGATTTTGATGAAATTTGGTATAAACGTGTAAACCTACATTTATTTGAACGAGTTTGCGAACCAGCATGATCAGACCATGGGAACGGGGGTTTATGGGGTAAAAATGGGGTTTTCCTATTTTGGACCCTAAAAACAAAAAATTTGGAATTTCTTTCTAAACCATTTTGTAGAACTTAAAAAAGAAATAATTTAGTACATTGAAGCGCTGTTGTATGCCTAACGATCACAGATAAAATTAAAAAGAAGTGTAATTTAAAGTTCCCATGTTATTCTTATGGAGAAAATGAAAACTGTTGTAGTTTTACTTGTTTATGGATATATGTCGATAGAATTTGGCAAATTTATTTATTTCATCCTATACCATTGACCTATGGTCAAAAAACACTTTTTTTCTTCCCCGTAGCAGCAAACCTAAGAACTCGTTAAACATCATGTTATTTAAATTGGAAATTAATATGTCTTATTTATAGAAATATTTGAGTAAAAATGTAATCAGACAAGTTGAAATTCACTTAGTCTGCAGGTTTGCTGCGGCGGGGGTATTACCCTGTTGCTATGGCAACACAGCTAGGGGTCTTGGATTGTAATAAAAAAAACTAAACAACAATATAAAACAGTATCTAGGCGCTTCAATATACTAAATTATTTATTTTTTTAAGCTCTACAAAATGGTTTAGAAATAAATTGCAAAACTTTTTGTTTTTTGGGTTAAAAATGAGAAAAACCCATGTTAACCCCTTGAAAACCCCCTTTCCCATGGTCCGATTATTCTGGTTTGCGAACTCGTTCGAATAAACGATCAAATTATCGACCGTTATCTATACTTCCGTCCATTTCCAAAATATATGAAAAAGCTGTGTATCTACAATTTTATGAATATTTGGAGAGTTTTAGAATGCTGGATGAAAATCAACATGGCTTCCGAAGGGGGAGATCTGTTGTCAGTGCAGCTGTATCTTTTGTTGAAACGTTAAGTTTACAACAGGTATATTCATGGACCTTTCAAAAGCTTTTGATAGTGTCAAACACTCTAAACTTCTAGAAAACCTTAAAATTCTGGGAGTATCAAGAAGATCTCTTAATTGGTTCACTTCATATTTAACAAATAGGTCTCAATATAAATATCTCATCTAACGGATAAAAATAAAGTAATGAAATCAAACTCAGCTTATAGACCAGTCAAATTTGGGGTGCCTCAAGGTTCTATTCTTGGGCCTTTGCTCTTTTTGTGTTACTTGAGGGGCATGGAAAATATGATCATTCATAAACTAAATTCAAAATTATGTCTCTACGCTGATGACTCAAATTTAATTTTATCAGCTGACTCATTGGAGGAGATACAAATTTTTTCTTCTAATGAACTTAATAACATTGGGGACTACTTACATGATCATAACCTTAATTTAAATTCTGAAAAAACTAAGTTCATAACGTTTAAAACACAACAAAACCGAAAATCTTCAGATCCAACACTAGAATATAAATCACAAAACATCAACAGGGAAAGTAGTATAAATTTTCTAGGTTTAACGATAGATGAGCACCTAAATTGGGATGAGCATGTTAAAAAGATCCTGCTAAAGATTAATTCTGGAGTTTATGCTCTATCAAAAATGTCTTTTTATTGCAATATAAACACTTTAAAGAATATGTATTTTGCTCATGTACAATCCCATATCCAATTCGGCATAGCATTATACGGTTCAACAAAACAAAGAAATATGGACTCTATTTTAAAACAGCAAAAAAAAGCTATCAGGATAATGCTCAAGCTTAAGGGGGATGATTCATGCAAACAACACTTTACACATCTAAAAATTTTTACAGTTTATGGACAATATATATATGAAGTTATTCTTATTGCTAGAAAACAAGATTTGAGTGAAAAACCGATTACAAGCCACTACTATAAGCTTAGGAAAAAAGTGGGGTTGTTGAACCTCATAGGCTCAAGTTTTATGAAAAAAAACCGTCCAATGCAGGCCAAAGATTTTTAAAATTTATCCCCAAAAATATAAAAAAAGAAACAGATTTTAATAAGTTTAAAAAATTACTCAAAGATTATATATTAAACTAGCAGAGTACCCGTCCTTCGTACGGGGTTGGTATAGAAGTATAAAATGCTTATACATATGGTTTGACAGCTCCATTTAAGTGATGTTAAATAATGTTTACATTTAGGCTAGTGACATCATTATTTTAATTTATAATCCTTACCCTCTCTGTTCTAATATTCGTGCAGTATTTAATATGTTTGAACCAGCTGTGTGGAATTGTAAAATCAAAATTCATTTGACAGTTAGTTCTGCTTGTTTACATTTTTAAACTTTGTAGGTTTGTTCTTTGTTACCATGGATACCATCAATCAATATTTACTTTTAAATCTCTCACCTCAAATTTTTGAATGCCCACGGGGCAGAGCCGTAGGACAATATCGAAGCGGGAATAGTTCTATATGTATCCTCGGAACTGTAGCTTCATTTGTGTGCAATTTGAGCCCAGTAGGTTCAGTAGTTTTTTAGATTAGCTCATACAAACACACACACACACAGACACCACCTCTTCTTTATAATAGTATAGATAGATTTAGCTATTTATTCTATGGAAGAGTTCTCCACCTCCCTGGCATAGGTAGCATTAAGTTATTTTGATTTTGTATTTCATTCTTGACTAGCTAAAGACTTGTTGTTATTATTTTACTTGTTAATATTTACTAATATCATTGTAGTTGTATTTCTTTTTATTGACGCTATTCATTGTACCACCTTTGTACAAAAATATGAATAAAGAATATGAATATGAATATGAATATTTGTTATAGGATTGTTGGTTTCATTGTGTATTATTTTAAATACCCCGCCGCAGCAAACCTGCAGACTAAGCGAATTTCCATTTCCCTGAATGGATTTACACTAAAATGTCTCCTTAAAAATATCACATTTATTCCCTATTTAAATAGAATCAGTTTAAAACATACTTAGGTTTGCTACAACAGGGAGGGTAAAAGTGTTTTTTTATGTATTTTATGTAAAATGGTAATAGTTAGTAAGAAATAAAAACATTTTCCAAATTTGAGCAAAATATGTTTATAAACAAGCAAACTACAACAGTTTACTTATTCTCCATAAGAATAACATGGGAATTTTAAATTTACAATTTTTTGGAATTTTCTCCGTAACCATTAGGCCCATTATAACGCTTCAATATACTAAATTATTTGTTTTTTTAAGCTCTACAAAATAGTTTCGAAAGAAATTGCAAAATTTTATGATTTTTGGGTCAAAAATGGGAAAAACCCCCATAAACCCCCGTTCCCATGGTCCGATC